GTTAGTTAAGAGAAGCACATAGACACAATAAAAGGTTGACCCAAAAAAAAGAGAATCCTGCCCCACCCTCATCGTTTATTTGTATTTTATGTGAGTTCCCTCTAGCAAAGGCTGGGTTTGGTCGACTCTTTCCCTTGACACGTAACGTTTCAGCCCACAGGCCTCACATCAGCGATAATAATAATACATGTATAATATTATAATATTCAAGTTGACAGAGTAGACTCTAGTTGGTCGCTTTTAAGGACAAGCGGGCTAACCCAGATTTCGGGGGTTTCCAGAAATCTTGACCTACACCAAAAGCGGACATTGTCCTACCTATAGAGAAGCTTGGTTTCATTGGTGTGTAAATTTGTTTGGTTATAGATCTCGAGAAAACTGTAGAGGTAAAAAATTTTAATACGATTTTCTCAAAACAGCATTATTCGAGATAGCCCCCTTGCGCTTGAAAGCGACCAGTAGTTATGTGAGGTATTTTTGAAGTTGGAGAAAATGGGTCACCCACCTCATGTATATTATGTTTTAATATATTCCAGTTGACAGCGTTGTTGTTGTGTGAAGTATTGTACATTTGTATTGAAGTTGGAGAAAATAGGTCACCCAACACAGGGCGCCCCTGGTCACGATCGACTTGTTCTTCACTTAGTTTAGTTTTAGTTTTACTAAGTGTTTTACGGCACTTGCAACACAGTAAGGTCATATACGTGCCGAAGATTAGAAGTTTTACAAGAGAGTCACAAACATAAAACAGAAGGAGGAGAGATTAGGACCATAGATGTTTGATAAGAAAGTAGAAGCAAACCACACCAGAGCACCCACCAACCACCCGCTTGTTGTTCTTGACTTGCGCCCAGCCGTGTGTGTCACAGGGGGGTGGTAGAGGTTAGTGTTTTACGGCGCTCACAACTGTATAAGGTCATACGAGCGCGCAGGACACATTAAACATTTTCAGTTGGTAGGAAATCTTGAATTTCGCCCGGGTGGCGGAAGAAGCCTACTCTACTCTATCGATTTTAGACCACCAAGGGATCTTTAACGTGTGCAACTTGCACACCGGACCTTCGAGATTTTTCGCCCTTGTCCGAGAAGGCTAGGTGTAGACCTTTCTTACAAGAAAATCAGGGGTGTGGCAGAAAGACAGCAGTAAGAAGAAGCCAAGAGTAGTAGTAGAAAGGCTCCAGAAAGAGTCAGGAGCCCAGAGGAGGGGGCAAAGGGGGTGAGGGGGTGGGGGCAGAAAGTGGAGATGAAAGTACACGACAGAACATTGCTAGCAAGCAGAAAAGAAAGTGAAAAGAGACAATTTTAGAGAAGAAAATGTTTTCCGTCACTACCCGGATTCGAACCCGGGACCTTTGAATGAGAGGCGAACACCTTAACCTCTAGGCCACGAGAGGGGGGTGGATGGAAGAGGTGGGATCGTTGGGTTGGGGTGGGGGTTGAGGAAAA